TTGCAGACCTGCAACAAAAAGATTCCATGATATGACTACAACAGGCTAAGTATCAGACTGGCTGCTCACACAACCTTCCTTAGGCATTGCCACCACTTTCTGCAACTCTCAATGGCCAGCAGGAATAGAGCTGGACTGTGTGATGAGTGCATTTCTTCCCTTTCAGCAATCACACGCTCCTTCTTCAGGTTTAAAAGGGTGGTGCTATCTCATCTCTTACATGTGTTTTCCCATGGGGCGTCGTCGACCCTCAACTGCTAGCCTTTCCTTCACTTACACAATCTCATTGCCGGAGAGAATGAAACTGCAAAAGCCAAACAGAAGTCCTAATACCAAAACGATTAAGTCAAGATATCATGTTCATGTTACACCAGGGACACGGGCTGTTATATCCACAAGATAGCTGGCACATGAATCTGTGCTCTACCTGGGGCTGAATTGTGTATTCAGCAGCTTGTGAATGTGTGTGAGACATGCCCAACGTACCAACTCCAGCAGAGAAGGAAATCTTTATACACAATATTCTACCCACTCCTTGGTCAAAAATAGCAACTGTATATAGGAAGATTACTTCCTTGTGAAAGGTCAGTTCACTAAATTTCCCATTGTTCAATGACTCAACAATATTTTGAGAGTGACAGTCGACAGTTTCAGTCACACACCAAATAATGTCAGACAACAGACTGCAATGCACTGGCCAAACTGTTTCAAGATTTGTGTACTAAGTGGGGAGTGAGTGATATCATATTGTCACCCCACTATCCTCATTCAGATGGTATAGCAGAACGTATGGTGTGTACTTTCAAATCAGTGTGCCATCCACAGCACCGCATACATTTGGGAAGCAAACGTAATCAGCCTTGTTCAGAAATTGTCTAACCATTCCAAGATACAGGACTTTCTTCCTCAAAGACAGAGGAGAATGAAAGTGATTCGTAATGAGTAAGCAGGTAAAAAACAAACAAAACCATACAATGACCAAAGGTTTTGAGTTAGAATTTGTAGTGATTGGAACCAGATGGACATTGTTCACTACAAGATCCTTGATTGGAGTTGTTAACCTGGGCCAATCAGGAAAGCCCTCGCTGAGCAATATAGCCAGGAGATTAGAATCTCCTCCGTTCAGGGGACTGACTCTGAGCAGGCTGGCCACAGCCTGGGTACTGTGCACAAGTAAATAAAGGGTGGCTCGGTGACAGGATACTGGCCTCGCTGCAGTTATTTCAGAAATACAAACACAAATGCTAATACTTGGATACCAGCAAAGGTTTCTCAAATATGCAGATCATATGAAGTGATTATTGATTATAGAGCTACATTGCGAAGGGACAGAAGACACTCAGACCAATGTATGACACACCAATCGTTCAACAAGACAGTGATCAGGAACACTCTGTGGCAGATGATTGTATCCGATGACGTTGACTGGCAGGAACCAGCTGCAAACCAGCCAAGGTGACAACCATATGGAATGGAAAACAATGCCTACCTCCTCAGACAGCTATATGCTCACCAGGTCAAGACAAGTTGCAGACTTCCAAAGCATTACATTGAAATTTAACCTTGTAAACTCAGTTTTACCCCTTTGTAAAATTATTGAACTGGGAACACATGCCTGTGTATGACCATGTATATCTGTTTGAGATACGTTTATATCTTTAGAGAAAGAGGGATCATTGTATTACATCTCACAATCAGAACTTTTCAAAGACATGCTCATGATATTGTTACTGTATCATAGCATGTGACTTGAGAATGTAAAGATCTCATACTCCATCTTTCCCTGGGATCACTTGAAGAATGACACACTTCTGAAAGTGTTCTCTGTGTCATCTAATTGCTTAATGTTTGAAAAAATAATTAGGTGCTATTATAATATTTACACATAATAAGTAGCTGTAATAAATATCTGATTGTTCAATACCATGATACTTATGCCTAGTTTCTTGTTATCAGAGATAACATGAGCATCAGTTGGGAGTCAGTTAGCTCAGTTGGTTGGTTTTGATGCAAACTGACACCAACAGCATGGGTTCAATTCCCACGCTGGCTGAGGTTAGCATGAAGGACTCTCCTTCTCAACTGTTCCCTTCACTTGAACCATGGTCACCCTCAGGTTAAACCACCACCAGACATCTCTCTGTAATGAGAGAGCAGTCCTATGGTCTGGTAAGACTATGGCAACTTTTCCATTTCCATTTTGTCACATCAAGTAAAACATCCAATTGAAGGCAAACTCACACCACTGGTCACTTAACATATTTTCAAGAGGCCACCAATGCACTTCCAACAAAATAAGACACAAGCTCATTACAGATAAAGAAACAACATGAGCCACATTAACAAATGGAAGAATTGTTTGAAGCAATCACATTCCAAATACTGGGAAAAAAAAATTTCAACCCTTTTCCTATCTGCAGCAACCTTGCAGACACTCAAACTTCAGTAAAGGATTATCCTGTCTCCACTTTAAAGTTCCTTGTTCAGTTAGCATAGTTTTATTCAGTTTCTCTTGGCAAATATCTGCATTCAGTGTGATTTTCATTAGTTAATATCTCTTTCTAACACCTGTAGCTGTGCAGCTACTCCAGCTTCCCTATTACTTGCCACGTGTTCCTCAAACTCACCTATTCAACAGCCTTTTCTTTCTGGAGCTGTTCTCTTATTTGATTTTAATCCCTTGAGCCAACCATCCCTCAGTGGCCGCTCTGAAAGCCTTTGCACACTGATTGCTGTGCCAATGCCATACACAGTGTCGACTTTTGCTTTTGAAAGTCGCTGCTGTGCAGGCACCTCAGAAGTTCACACAGGAAATAACAAAAATATAGGAACACTGCACTCAGGACTTTTCAGCACAGACTGTTTCGGAAACTGCTAAATTACTTGTGTCTCTGGCAGCTAGAGGCCTGTTCTTTCTAAATGACCTTGCCTGCTGTCTAACTGTTTGGATATTTCTATCTTTCTGTGACAATGGACTTCAGTCACTAGGCAACACCTTTTTTTTAACTTTTACCCTTTTTGTCCCTAATGCACTGGACTGTTCACCTCAAAGATTGAACCGTCTCATTTAAAGTGTGTACAAATAAACAAATTCCCAGACACTCCTCACTGCTCAGGGAACTTAAATGAAACTAAAACTATGTCTTCCCTCCTTCTTAATTCATGCAAAACAGAAATACAAATTAAACTTGAAGTGATTCGCCATTAATATGGAGGAGGTAGCATAGTGGTTTAACTATAGACTGAAACCTCAGGCTGGACGTCTTGCAACAGGAATTCAAATTCAACCATAGCAGATGGTGAAATTTGAATTTAACAAAGATCTGGGATAAAAACCTGGTTGCTATTGGTCATTAAAGCCAGCTTGTTCATTACTATAATCTAGTGAAGGAAAGCTTCACCTTTACCTCGTCAAGTCTACATTTGATATCCAGAGTTATAAAAGGTTAAGTCATCATAGTTCTGCAGGACCATGGGGTTAATCTCATTAGAGAGAGGGTCACTGAGGGTCACCACACTTCAGGTGGACAAAGTAAGAAGTCACATGACATGACGTTATAGTACGACAGGTTCATCTGAAATCACAAACTTTTGGAGTGTTGCTCATTCATCAGGTGAAGTGACTTCTCCCAATGAAGGGGCTATGCCCCGAAAGCTTCTGATTTCAAATAAACCTGTTGGACTATGATGTGGAGTCATGTGATTTCTGACTTTGTCCACCCCAGTCCGACACCGGCACCTCCACCATGGACACCTCAAGTGAGGAGAGAGGTTCAGAAGGAGATTCCTTTATGGTAACCTCAGCTGTTGTGGGAACTGAGACCCTCACCGCCACAGACCAGCCATTTGGCCACAGGAGCAGACTGAGGACAATGTGATTGATTCTGAAATGCCTTCTGGGCAAATAGGGATGGGCACTGAGGCTGATCCAGGCAACAATGCCCATATCCCATCACTGAATCTGAAAAAAATTCCTTCAGTTTAGCACCCAAGTTTCTCGACAATAATAAATCATGACTTTCATGACATTCCTTTTAAAACCCTAAGAGTTATGCTTAAATTTCTTGACCCGTTTTGTCAGTGCAAGGGATCATTCCCAAGGAAAGGAAATTCTGACATCCCCGGTTTGGGATTGGCAACAGCAGCAGAAGCTTCAGAGATAAGTTGCTCACAATGATGTTTCATGGTCCATCTGATTGGGAATAAGGGGCTGGGTGAGCATTAGCAATTGGAGCACTGCAGCAAAAGTTGTCCTGACCTAGTTACCTAAGCCACTTGTGGACTGTGGTCTTGGTTTAACTGTTTGAAGTTATATTTGTGTCCCTATCTCAGGGCCCTGAGACGAGTGCTTAAACTGTACTGATTCCACAGAGACTGGAAAGTGAACCTGCAGCCTTCCCAATCTGTGTATCATAACCGCATCGAGGAGGGTGTGTGTTTTCCAGTTTCAAAGGAAAATTGAAGTATTGAATGCAGTCCTGAGGTCAACATTGTAGAGTCCAGGTCAAATACAATCAGTTAAATCAGACATGTGACTCAAAAGAAGCTTTGGGTCAGTGATTTAGATTTGACTTCTCAGATCTCTCCCAGGCTTTGTAGATATTTTAAATCAACCTGCACAGAGATGCTCTGGAATAAGTGGATCCCAAACCCGGGCTTCCTACCACTGCGCCACAAAAGGGCTGAGAAATACTCAGGTCTGATAGATGTACCCTTATTAACCTGGTAGGGGATGCTGTTACACATATCTGGAGTATGTGGGACATGGGCCTCCTGGCTCAGGGGAAGAGGCACTACCACCGCACCACAGGAGTCCTCAATTTGACTCCGGACTTGGCAGGGAGTTGCCTTCAGCAATCGGGTGCAATATTCCAGGATTCGGGAAACGGTAAGTTTTAAATCTTCAGCGCGACCAGAGTTGATGCAATGAATAGCGAAGGGAATGATCATTGCAGTTATCACCCTGACTGTGGTTGGATCACTGGGAGGAGTTTAAACCAACTCTTCAGAGCTCAGCAGGTTCGTCCCAGAGGCAGTCAGACTCCGGGAGACGCTCTCCTCCCCACTCCCAGAGACTGAGCTGGGGCTAGCGGCCGCTCTGTCCGTCCTGCCGTGCCGCTCCCGTTGGAGTGAAGACCCGGTGGAGCGATGGCACGTTCCGGGCACTGGATGGGCAGCGTGTTTCTCTTCACCTTGTTCTTAGGTACAAGTGGCGCCTTTAATTAAATCTTCGTTGTTTCCTGGGGTTTACAGAGTGGATAAAGCACTGGGTTTGAGTCCTAGTCTCATTCAGAAAGCAACATTAAAAGTTACTCCGAAAGGTTACATCTTTGAAATAAGCGTAAAGGTTTGATTTTGGGGCAATGTGAGTTGAGACCTGTGTATATCCCAGTGTGTGAAGATGCAAGTTGGACCAGAACGGTTCCAGGCCACGAGTTCTTCAATAGGGGAGTTACAATGGAAAAGCTGGGAATCTCAGCGATCAGGAGAGAGAGGAGATAGAGACAAAACATACTGGAGAAACTCTGGCAGAATTTGTGGAGATAGAGATAGAACTAATGTTTCCAGTCAGAAATGACTCTTCTTGGGAGCTGGTGTAGTGGATCAGGAACCATTATGACAGGGTCCATAAAGGAAACAAAAACCTTTCCTCGTTGGGAAAGGGGTCCAGAGCCAGAGCACAACAATCTAAAGTAATTGACAAAAAAAACAGAGTGGCATTGTGGCTCACAGCGCCAGGGACCCGCGTTCGATTCCAGACTCGGGTGACTGTGCGGAATTTGTACATTCTCCCTGTGTCTGCATGGGTTTCCTCCGGGTACTCCGGTTTCCTCCCACAGTCCAAAGATGTGCAGGTTAGGGCGGATTGGCCATGGGAAATTGCCCACAGTGTTCAGGGATGTGCAGGTTAGGTGGGTTAGCCATGGGAAATGCAAGGTTACAGGGTCACCGGACCCGAAACGTTAACTCTGTTTTCTCCTCCACAGATGCTGCCAGACCTGCTGAGCTTTTCCAGCAACTTTGTTTTTGTTCCTGATTTACAGCATCCACAGTTCTTTTGGTTTTTGCTTTTGCAAAGAGCCGGCACCAAATAACAGGCCAAATGTTCTCCTTCCACACTGTAACTATTCTATTATTCTAAATTTAGCCATTATTAATATCACAGCATGTATGGTGTGTTTACTATGTATTCATTGTTCTATGATTTTCCTTTTCGTTAGGGCTGGGAGGAAGGTGTGAGCTCATGCTGTAAAAATCCTGTACCTCCACATATTTCTAATGATTTCCCAACAATCCTGTAGCCATATCATAAACCAGTCTGTCTGTATGTACTGGCAAACATTTAAACTATCTGCATATGTATAATTTCCTATTGAGGAATGCCCTTCCTGTAATTGATGCATTTTCTGCACTTAATCAGGCTGATTAGGACATGTTCTGGTAAATCAGAAAATATGTAACAAATCAGCACAACGTGGGTACTGCACCATCTTGTGTTTCTCTAACTGTCTTTGTTAATTTTATATTTTCTGTGGTAGCATTTGATGCCCAGTCGTTGATGAACACGCCCAAATTTCCAGACATCTATCATGTTACAGGTATGTTCTGGGTATGTTCCACATAATGACATTGATATCAGAAATAAAACCAGAAATACTGGAAATACATTGCAGACTGTTCAGCACCGGTCAGAATGCAGGTGGATTAACACTCTGGGATTGATCCTTTGGAAGATAGAACTTTGGAAGAATCATATTTTTCTTCTACAGTTGCATATGGATTCAGTGTATGTTCTCAATATTTCTGTTTAATTTTATATTGCCAGTTTTTTCTGTATTTGTGGGTTATTTAATTGTGTTAGTAAATGAATTTTCAAAGTCCTAAAGAGCTTGTGTATATATATATGTGTCTGTATGTGTGTGCATCTGTGTGTGCGTCTACCTGTACTGTTGTCTGTGTGTGGGTGTGTGTGCATCTGTGTGTCAGTGTGCATCTGCATGTGTATGCATCGTTGTGTGTGTGTCTGTGTGTGTGTGTGTGTGTGTATGTGTGTGTGTATACCTGTGTGTCTGTGTGTGTGTGTCTGTATCTGTGTGTCTGTGTATGTTTGTGTGTGTCTCTGTGTGTGTGTGTATCTCTGTGTGCGCGTGTGTGTGCGTGTGTGTGTGTGTGTGTGAGTGTGTGTCTGTGTTTTAGTTTGTGTGTAACATCCAAGATGGTGACAAAGTAGCAGCACAATGTTTGGCTCCTTAGCCCAGGAGACTGGAGTTCATCTATTCCATCCGTCTTGTACTTTTCTTTCTCTCCGCTTCTTTAAGAAATGTTTCCATTTATTATCTTACCTCTTTTGATGGCTTCAGAGGAAGGTTTCTTCTCCCAGCCTGGGTCAGGCGATGAAGAGGTATCCAGCACAGCATGGCAGCCTCATTCCAGAGGGGCAGTCTCAGCTTGGCACGTTAATCTCGAGGTTTGGTGGTCTCGTCCCGACGTGGAGATCTCATTCTGGGTATTCAGCAGCCTGGACTGATGGTCACCTTGTCCCAGAGGGACGATCTCGATTTGATGGTGCTTGTCCTGGCCTGTCGGTCTCATCCCGGTGTGGAGGTCTTCTTCAGAGGCGGCTTAGGGTATTCCAGCTTTCATTGTTTTAATCAGCTTTCCCCAAACTGAAATTGATCTGAGATGATCTCTGTCTTGATTTTTACTTTTCTTTCTTCTTGTCTATGACTAATGTCATTAATACAGCTGCCATGGTAAGGCGATTTATAAAACTCTCTCTTTTTTTGTAAAAATACAAGTGACAATAAATTGCTATTCTTTGCATCCGTGTGTGTGTTTATGTCTGTACATGTCTGTGTGTGAGTGTGTGTCTATATGTGTGCATGTCTCTGTGTGTGTATCTGTGTTTGTGTCTGTGCAGAGAGAATATTTAACTTTCTCTGTTCTCATTGCTCCACGTTAACCCTGGTCTAATCTTGCCCTGTTATTTGCAGCAATGGGATGCATATTTAACTCCTCCCCTTATCGTAATGGATGCTACATTCATCTAGGAGCTGACCTTGAACAAAGTGTGAAGGTGTTTCTATTCTGCGAGGTTAGGTCAATGAGTAGGGATCAGTTCCTGAAATAAAGTGCCAGAACATTTCAAAAATAGAGGTGGATAGGTTTTGCCTTCTTTCATTTCAGTTCCAGGACTGTGATTACCTTTTTTTGTATCAATATAAATATTTAGTCAACGCCAGGAAGACAGGTGCTAATACAAATATGGTCAACTACTGTTGAATTGAAAGGAAATTAAGACATAGTAATCCTGTCCAGCTGCGTTTTTCTTGTTTTGACGTTTGATACTTGCTCCTGTCATACCAACTGTTTGTACGACTTTGCTTCACCAACTGCTGTGTCTACAGAATAACTTTGACCAAATTGTTCCTCTACTTTCATTTCTTTCAGTCCAGTAGAATGATAGGTCGGATCAGCTATGGTTATATTAAAGGGCAGAACTGGCTTGCTCCTTGTCCATTTGTTCACGGGGCAAATAATAATTTGATTGAGTTTTTCAGCATACCATCTCCTGAAAGTGTCGGAGAGTGGTTTGAGGCATTATCTGGCAGTACCATGTCTAACGGCATCAAGGGTCTTTGTTGGATCTGTGTATATGCCTTAAACTGACCCAGCACTGAGTTCCTAATCTCTCATTTCCTGCCTGTGTTAATTGTTACACAGAAGCCACGGGAAAGGAGCGTCAATCCAGGCTCCACTCTTGACCTCTTTCATAGCCAGATCCAAGTGGCACTGGGGTGGCCAACATTTTGCTGGAGGCTTTGTAATGTTCCCTTTCTGGTTTAATGTTCTGACCCATATTTCAAAGGCACACAACTCAAATATCATTCTACTTAATGTGGTACACCTTTATTGAGTTACTAAGCAATAATACATACCCACAATAAAGCTAGTTGCTTAAAGGTCCAGCAAGCACGGGCCTGTCTCAGCTGGGCAATCCATCAACAGTTCCCTTGGTGTGTCTTCCTGGAGCAGGTGACCAAACTGCTCTATCCAGGCTTCAGTCCTGAATTGCTCTCAATGTCTTACTTTATACCTTTTTCGTGCGTTTGACTATCTGCCAAATAAGGTAGTGGCCCTTACTATTGGTTTTTAGTTGGACGCCATCACCAGATCTATTCCCTCTGGTCTCTTTCTTCAAGGTTTTGCTTGAAGATGCACAGGCAGCCACCTGTACCCTTATCTCAAACTCCCTTTTCTTTATGGTCACTGAAACAATGGACACAGTTCCCTAACAGCCCCAGCACTGTTTCAGACCATTGACAAATATCCATGGCTTGGTCACTATCTTACCATCCAACCTTTCTGTCCTCATTCCCATAATACCATTTGTTTTTTGGTCAGGGTACCAATTTCTTCTTTGATACCCATTCCATCGCCATGATGCAACCCAGCTCACAGGACTCCATCACATACAGTTTCCAATCATTAATAGGAATGAAAGAAAATATACACAATTCAAAGTACATGATACAGGAGTGAGTGTGTGTATCTAGGTGGCCGTGTGTGGGTGTGTGTATGTGCATGTGTGTGTCTGTGTGTGTGTGTTTGTTGTGTGTGTCTGTCTGCATGTGTGTTTTGTTTGTGTGCGTCTGTGTATGTCTATGTGTGTGTATGTGTATCCATGTGTTTTGTGTCTGTGTCTCCGTGTGTGTGTGTCTGTGTCTCTGCGTGTCTATGTATGTGCGTGCATGTGTGTGTGTGTGTGTGTGTGTGTGTGTATGTGTGTGTCTGTGACTCTGTGTGTGTGTGTCTGTATGCGTGTGTGTGTATTGGTTAACAGCATGCAGAGTTCAAAAACTTAATGAATAGCATACAGGAGCAGTCATTCATTAAAAGAAAAATGTCTTTAAATTTATCCATTTATTTTACCTATTTACCTAGGTTAAAATGTTCATTTTTAAATGTAAAAAAAGACACTTGCATTTTTACAGCACATTTTGTGACATAGGATGTCCCATGGGACTTTAAGCCAATGAACCTAATGTGAGTGTACATGGAGAATGCTGGGATACTGATTGTCTTTCAGTTGCAAGGAGAAGTCTTTTTGACTGCAAGAATAAACTAACGCTTTAATATTTGCAGGAATTCTGTCATTGCCACTCGCTGAGATTAAAGAGCCATTTGAAGCTTGGTACAACCTGTCTGGAAACATCAGCCGCATTGATTATTATCATGGTACCACTTCTATCCTGACAGATTAACATATTTTTTGAGTTAATAAACCTTAAGCACATGTGGAGAGTCAGAGTAAATATACTACAGTTGAAATTTGCCTGATCTCAGGGGATTAAATGTCTGATTAAATCCATCTGTTTCTATAAACTGATTATCTCCCCTGCTTTAGTTTCAGTCAAGTGAGGAACAGTGATAAGGTTCTGGAACAGCCTGACTGAGAAGAGGTCCTACATTTTTTCTTGCAAATGTAAGGATGATACTGCATTCTGGAATAAGCTAAAACTAGAATTGAACTGAAAACAACAAATGTTGGTGATCACAGCGGGTCAGGCAGCATCCATGGAGAGAAAGCAAGCTAACGTTTCGAGTCTAGATGACTCTTCATCAGAGCTGACGTGAAGTGTGGAGGGGGCAGCATTTATACTATAGTCAGAGGGGGGATTGGGACTATCAACATTCTTTCCCCTCCTCCCACCCCACTACTGCATAAATGCTGCCACCTCTACACTTCAGCTCTGATGAAGAGTCATCTAGACTCGAAATGTTGGCTTGCTCTCTCTCCATGGATGCTGCCTGACCTGCTGTGATCTGCAGCATTTTTTTTTGAGTTCAGATTCCAGCATCTGCAGTAATTTGCTCCAACAAAAATAGAATTGAGTTAGGTTATGTCAAGGCTGTTAGCAGCTCATCATTATTATTTTTAAAACAACGACCATTTTGTGTCAGCAAATTGATAAAGTTGTTTTAAAAGTGCTGCTGCAGAAAACAGGTTATGACTAACTCTGATTATAAGATAATACTTTATCCCATTCTCCAAAAACATCACTGTATTTTCATCAGGGAATCAGATTAAAAAAATATATATTTCTTCCAGATCAGATTGGCTGAAAGGGAAAGTTAGTTTGACCAAAGTTACACGGTTTCTCATAACAACGTTAAGAGTGGATTAGAAGCAAGGTGACTGCTTAAACAGTTCATGAATATTTTAGGAAAATGGAGAATTTTAGGAAAAGGGGAAAGTGTGACAATGGGAATCAGACCAATAAGTTTGTTTAAAATCCTGCAGTTCCTGATCAAAAGCAATGTTTCAGTTTGAAGGAATTGTGTAAATTTTAATTTCATAATTTTAGAATATGAGAAATAGGAGCTGGCCATTTGGCCCTTCGAGCAAGCCGTAGCAACCAGTATAATTTTGGCTGTTCTTCTTGCTTAGGTACACTTTCCAACCGTGTCCCCTTAATTCCATGAAATTCCAAATTCAATCACTCTCAGTCCCCAGTGATGTCAGCAATGCTCCAGCTTTCTGCAGTGGACAATTCGATAGATTCACAATATCTGAGTGAAGGACTGTCTCCTCATCTCAATCCTAAATGGCTATGCCTTCATTTTGGGGCTGTGACTGCAGCCCCAAGACCTAGACATTTCAGTAGAAATTGACGATTATCATAACATATACATGAAACATTGTGCAAGTGTTGAATTCCTTGGCGTCATGCAGCACCTGTGGAGAGAGAAGCAAAGTCAATGCTTTAGATCAAAGGGCTATCAATGAATCTATCAATGCCACGTTCAAATGTACACTAGTTTTTAATGTTCCTGATTAGTAATTACTTTGGAAGTGTAGCTACTTGTTATATTATTGCAGTTCTGCAAAATGCCACAATGAAGACTCAGAAACCATATTGTCAGTTGGAGAAAGTTTACTCAGTGCAAACAATAGGCTTGATGGTGATCTGCTCATAGCTGTCATTTGCTGTTTCTCCTTTTGTTTAGAAGTTTAAATAGTTTTCCAATTTAACAGGTCAGGTTATAACTCTACAACATGGATTTGAAAAGCCAGCTGGAATTAGTTACAAGATTTCTCCAGAGACTACGGAAACAGAGATAAACGTTATCAAATGCTTCCAAGTGAATGGAACTGTTGATGATCCCATCTTTCCACAGTCAGTCTTTCCAAACCTGGAGGGTTTTAAGGTAAGAGTGACATGTGCTAAAGATTAGAATTCAGTCAAAAATTAAGATGAAACTGTAAGAGCATCAGGATTAAAAATTCTAAAAGGAAACAAAAATAATATGATTAAAGGCAAAAGAATAGGAGAATGAAAAATGTAAATACTGGAGCTGGGGACAGGGAAAATCAGGTACTTGAGCAGAGAATTGAGACGGAGTGAGGGAGCAAGGGTAGTAATGGCAGTGAAGGTGTAATTGGAAGAGAAATAAAGCATGAAGGATCACAAGTTAGAGGAGTATCTGAACAATTGTGGAAGAAATAGAGAAGAGCATCTTTAAGTGCTAGATTTCTCAAAGTCCCTTGACCATCTCCAGAGGGACAATGTCTCAGGATGAGGGGCAGGCCATTGAAGATTGAGATGAGGAGGAACTTTCTTCACTCAGGGGTTGGTGAATCTTTGGAATTCTTTGCCCCAAAGGCTGTGGAGCTCGATCATTGATTATAATGAAGACTAAAATCAACAGATAGCTACATAAAGGGATTGGAGGATCGTGCAGGGTAAAGGTGTGGAAGTAGAATATTAACCATGATTTCATTGAATGGTGGAATGGACTGAAGGGGCTGAATGGCCTCTTTGTGCACCTATTTCTTATGACCTCACCTCTGTCCCACTAGGAAAGAATAATAAAAATGACGGGAGGGGGGAAGGATGTTTAGGAAGAGGAAGAGCCAAAAGAAAAGGGGGAGAGAAAAGACCAGCAGAAAGCAGCACAGGGAGGTATAAGAGCAACTGCACAGGTGGCTGTGGGCACCCCCTACCTCTTAGCACCTTTGGTTAATGAACATTTATCAAGCTCAGTTTTAAAATGAACACACTTTAGGCAAAAAGCAGTGTCTCCTTGCAGAGGAGTTGGGTGTCATTTAATCATCAGGAAAGCAACTGGTGGAGGTCCCTTCACCTCCCCACCTCCACCTGATTGGTCAGTCTCCTCAAGTTGCTGTCAATTGAGGCCCTTAAGTGGGTCAAAACAGCCTTGTATCAATTGACCACTGCACGTGAATTAATGAACACGTCTGAAGTGAGTCTCCGTGATGCGTGCTCAATAACCCCACCTCCGTCATCTTAGCTGTGTTCATGCCCCTATGTCTGCTCTGACATGGCATGATCTTTTGGATGTTTCCTCATGTAGGACAATCTAAAACGAGAGGTTGTACTGCTGGGATAAGTGGCAGCAGAATTAAAGCAAAGATGAGGAGGAACGACTGCTCTCAAAGGGCTGTGAATCTGTGGAGTTCAATATCCCAGAGTGCAGTGGATGCTGGGACAGCGAGTAAGTTTAAGGAGGATGAGACAGATTTTGAATTAGTAACGGGTTGAAGGGTTATGGGGAATGAGCAGGAAAATGGAGCTGAGGCCGAGATGAGGTCAGCCATGATTGTATTAAATGGCAGATCAGGCTTGAGGGGCTGAATGGCCTACTCCTGTTCCTAGTTCTTATGTTCTTGTGTTTAGTGGAGAACATTGTTTTATTTCTCCAGTTGCCAATGAACTTTGGTTAGAAGATTGTCGATAGTGTGAAAGGAGCACAATCTGATTTGTGCTATCATTTAAGACCCAGTTCTCAAAGGTAATTGTCCCTGGCTATTGTAACCATTACTGTATTCACTAACACTTCCATTACACTCAGCATTTAGCTATCCTGCTGTGAGTGTAGACAGATTCACTTTGACACTGCTGAAAGAAGCATGCGTGAAACAATTGCCTCCGGATCACCTGTAAATTGGAGGCAATCAGCCAAGCATTAAACTGAATGAAAAGGAATAACCAACCATTACTTGGATATAGCCAACTCAGATTTTGTAGTGCAGTGAAAATCTAAAATAGAGAAGGAATTATGGTGAAGGGAGCACAGATGATTAAGGATCTGTATTAAATACTAAAGAATTAAGTTAACTTTTATTATCCTATTTATTTATCAGCATTTGAGGTCTGATCATGCATTTTAATGTCAATATTTTTAGTTCATAAAGGAAGAGGACTATAAAGGACAACATTGCAGCGTGTGGCAGAATATTATTTACAAAAATCAAAAGAAGAATAATTACACCATTTGGATCACCAAGTCTACAAACGACCCCATTCCTGTCCATTATGAAATGAAGGGATATAATACTTTGTTTGGATCCCATTATGACAAATATGAATTAGATTATGGGACTGTGGACTTTAACGTGGACTCAAATATCTTTGAACTTCCTGAAGGTAAAGCTTTTGATAGATGGCTACAGGTGAATATATAGTAAAGAGATGTTGATTTTTGCAGAGAGCCCTCCCCATTTTGGTCATATGGTGTATAAACTCTTGCTTGAGGTACTGTTATAGACCAGGCCAAACCCCCTGCAAATAATTCAAGGAGATAGCCTAGACCATAACTTTTATCTTATTTAAAGGCGGTGTAAGGTGCTGTCTTCCAGGTGTAATTCGATTGGTCACACTACTCAGCTTTAAGCAAAACTCACTTTATTCCTAACCTGAAGTTAAAATACAAACAAAAGAAAGAAGAATTGAACTAACTTTAATTCCATTGGAAAACTTAACAGAATAATAGATTATTTAACTACTAAACAGCAACTGTTGTAATATAGTAACATGCCATAAACACACACTTGGCAAGTGCAAATTCAGTAAAACAGATTGTCTCACATGCGATTCTGGCAGCAGAGAGAGCCCAAGCTTTTAGCTGAAACAGAGAGAGATGTAGCTGCTTCTACAGCCAGCTTCAAAATCCCAACAACTCAAAGTTAAACTAAAACCCTATGGGAGCCTGACCCCACCCATTCATGCTGCTTCTATTGTTCAAACTTTTAAAAAAACTCCAGAGCCTCACAAGCTGCTTACTTTATTGTCTTGGAAGAGACAATTTGGTGTCTCTGTCTTAAAATATCTCTTCAAAAACAAAGCACAAACTACACCTCTTAAAGCGTAGTAGCGTCACACTACGCTCAGATGGTCATGATACACTATCACTAATTTGTGGGACGGTGATCACTCTTCATGTTTACCTTACTGTTGAGTTTGAAGAGGTTGAGTTTAATAACTGAATTTTCAAACTGTATTGAATGTTGCTTTTGAACCTTTCATTTGGGCTCATTTCTACTGATCGTCTCCTCAACATTTTCTGGCCATGAAGAATTGAAACACAAATTAGCAGATCTTGGAGTCACTATAATAAAACAAAGAACTGTGGACATGAAATAAAAAGAGACTGCTGGAGAAGGTCAACAGGTCCGGCAGCACCTGTAGAGAGAGAAACAGAGTTAACATTTCAAGTCTAATGAAGGAGGGTCACTGGACTCAAAACATTAACTCTGTTTCTCTCTTTACAGATGCTGCCAGACCTGTTGAGTTTCTCTAGTAATTTCCGTGTTTGTGGGAATTGCTATAGTTGTTTTTAACATTGTCCCAAATTGGCACTGACACTATCCAAATAAGAGTGATCTGTAACTCCACATTAACGCTTTTATCATAAAATGTTTTAAAATTCAGTAACAATGCAACTTTCATTCTTCAGCTTTTGAAGAGTAATAACTCCTAGTAAAGGCATTATGCGATCGCTCACATAATGGGTGTGACTTTGGAAAGAGAAAGGGAACATGATTTTAAGAGAAAATTGATTCAGATCAGCATTGATTTATCAGAAGTTAAAGATTGGGGCAATACCAAACTCGAAATTTGAATACTCTGACAACTTCAGTAACAGGGGAGATGTGGAATTTATTTTGAATAGTGACGGAATTACTGTTGGGTATTCTGTTGGAAACGATCTTGAATATTTTATATGTCACGAGAGGAAGCAAAGAGCCTACAGAATGCAGTCATAACATTTAAATTTAAAGAGACATATCTCTGACATCCTAATGTAGAGACTGGCATTTGGTCAAGCTCATTCTAATGAAAATACTGGAAGCCTGAATTGATCCATTATTGATCTATCAATTTCTTTCTGACAGGTTTGCCTTGCAAAAGATTTGCTGGTCCTCGAGTAGAACACAGAATCCTGGCGAATCCCATTCAGGATTTAGTTACCTTAGATAAGGAAGATCAGGCTCATCATTTGTTTCAGCATTACAAGAAGAAGTTTAATAGAGACTATGAGACAGATGACGAGGAACATGATTTGAGAAGAACCACATTTACTCACAACATGAGGTATAGCTGCTTTCAGTGAAATGGTGATGTGTTATTTTTAATGGTTGCCCTAAGCCCAACTGTAATAAATCCCAAATAAAAACTGAAAGGACTGTGGATGCTCTAAATCAATGACCAAAACAGAAATTGCCGAAAAAGCTCAGCATGCCTGACAGCATCAGTCGAGAAAAATCGGAGTTAACGTTTTGGGTCGAGTTCTGAAGAAGAAACATTAACTCTGATTTCTCTCCACAGATGCTGCCAGACCCGCTGAGCTTTTCCAGCAATTTCTGTTTTTGTGTATAATAAATTCCAACACTTTCTTTCTCTGGGATATTTATGTCAGTCTTTCTTGAATTTTGGCTGCACTGATGATCTTTCCTAGTTTCACTGCTTTACTGATTCTCAGCAGATCAATCACTGCATATTAAACATTTGTGGAAACATTTTAAATTGTGCTTAATGAAAAGCACTTACCATAAGACAATAAGACCATAATAAATAGGAACAGGAGTAGGCCATTCGGTGCCCCCAAGCCTGCTCCACCATTTGATAGCATCATGGCTGATCTGACATTCCTCACATCCGCTTTCCTGCCCTTTCCTATAATCCTTGATTCCCCGACTGATCAAAAATCTATTTCAGCCTTAAATATACACAAGGACTCTGGCCCCCTCTACAGCTCTCTGCGGCAAGGAGTTCCAAAGACTCACAACTCCCTGAGGGAAAAAATTCTTCCTCATTTCAGTCTTAAATTGGTTCCCCTTTATACTGAGACTGTGCCGTATGGTCCTCAACTGTCCCATGAAGAGAAACATCATCTTCAAACGCCTGGTTCGGCCACATCTGGAGTACTGTGTCCAGTTCTGGTCACCTCTTTAAAGGAAAGATGTGGAAGCGTTAGAAAAGATGCAGCGATTTACCAGGATGTTGCCTGGAATGGAGGGAAGGTCTTACGAGGAAAGGTTGAGAGAGCTAGGGATTTTCTCTTTAGAATGACGAAGGATGAGAGGTGACTTGATAGAGGTGTACAAAATGATCACAGGTATAGATAGAGTGGGCAGCCAGAAACTTTTTCCTAGGGTGAAGGTAGCTTTTATGAGGGGACATAGTTTTAAAGTGAAAGGAGGTAAATATCGGGGAGACGTCAGAGGTAGGTTCTTTACTCAGAGAGTGGTAGGGGCGTGGAATGCATTGCCGGAGAGGGTAGTGGAGTCGGCCTCATTAGGGGCATTTAAGCGGCTATTAGATAGGCATATGGATGATAGTATAAGGTAGCGGTGGAAGTTAGATAGACCTTAGGTTTAGGGTAAAAGTTCGGCACAACATCGTGGGCCGAAGGGCCTGTACTGTGCTGTACTGTTCTATGTTCTATGTTCTCAGAGTTTACCCTGTCAAGCCTCTTAAGAATCTGATATGTTTCAATGCAATTACCTCTCATTCTTCTAAATTCCAATGACTAGAATCCCAACCTGTTTCTCGTCAGCAGTATTCACTCACTAACGAGTATGATTATCCACCTCAGAAATTCTGTGCCACTGGTCCTGGGTTCTGTGAGTCCTTGTGTGACTGACGAACCAAATCCTAGAGTTGCATCTTCAACTGCACATTTCTGAGAGGTTGTATGGATCCTTGGCCTTGAGATCATTCCTTTTGTGCACTTCCTCTTTCTGATAGATGTTCTCGAAAAATTGGGTCTCTTCATACCGGAGTTTCCTCCAAATCAGTTTCTTATGAATGAGGATCTCCCATGTGTTGCCATCAATGTTGAATTTTTTTGAGGGAAGCCTTCACAGAGCCTTTGAAACATTTCCTTATTCCTCCTCATGTTCAGGTGCCCTTCTTGAGCTGGGCGAGGAAGATTTGATTTGCCATTGAGAACCCCGGCATCCTAAACACATGGCCCATAAGACAGCACCCCCATGAGGAACCATGCCTCCAATAAACTAAGATGTTTCCTTAAAAAAAGGACCAGAACTGATCACGATATTTCAGATGTGGTCTGACTAGCAGCCTGCACCTTCAAAGAGCTGACGTGTTCTCCCTGGTGTTCTTGCCAATATCTATCCCTCAATCAGCATCACTAAAGCAAATTATCTGGTACATCAGCACTTTATTCACTGAGGTTTAGAAGAATGAGAGGAGATCTCGTAGAAGCCTATAAAATTTGAACAAGTCTAGACAGGGTAAACATAGGAAGGACGTTCCTGATGACCAGGGAGTCCAGAACCAGGGATCACAGACAAAGGATACAGGGGAAAAATCAAAAGAACTGCGGATCCTGTAAATCAAAAACAAAAACAGAAGTTGCTGGAAAATCTCAGCAGGTCTGGCAGCATCTGTGAAGAGAAATCAGAGTTAATGTTTCGGGTCCAGTGACCCTTCCTCAGAACAGATGATAGCTGGAAAAATATTGGTTTACATTTTCCTAGCCAACATCTGTTCTGAGGAAGGGTCACCGGACCCAAGCGTTAACTCGGATTTCTCTTCACAGATGTTGCCAGACCAAGGATACAGGGTAGGCCATTTTGGACTGAGATGAAGAGAAATTTGTTCACCCAGAGAGCGGTGAGCCTGTGGAATTCTCTGCCACAGAACATAGTTGAGGCCAAAACATTGAATGTTTTTAAGAAGGAGTCAGGTATAGTTCTTAGGGCTAAAGGGATCAACAGGTATGGGGGAGAAAGTGAGTACTGAGTTAAATGATCATTTTGAATGGTGAAGCAGGCTCAAAGGGCCGAATGGTCTACTCCTGTTCCTATTCCCAATGTTGCTATGTGTTATGTTTTGTGAGATTTTGACATATGTAAATTGGCTGTTTGATGTTACAACAGTGTCTACACTTCAAAAAAAATTACTTAATTCTTTTAAGGCACTTCGAGACACCATCAGATTGTGAAAGGGTTTTTGTACTTTCTTTCAACAAACATCTAAAACAATGTGAGTCTGGAGAAAGAATCTGTACATACATAGTGTCTCAGGACAACCTACAGATTCCTTTTAAAATTCAGTCAGAATTGTTATGCAGGTCAACGAAAGGTTAATGCTACACATCTGGAAGACATTATCTCTCCCTATCCCCCTTCCATAAATAAACAAACTCTACTGTGCACCACTGGACAATGTGGGTCAATTCACATGTATTTGGATTTTCAGTGAGGATAGACATCCCTGACGAAATTTAGCATTGCCTCCATGGTCAACATAGCCTTTGGCTATCTCAGGAACAGACTGTTTAATGACAAAGACCTCAAACCCAACACCAAACTCCTGGTCTACAAGGCAGCATGTAATCTGCTCTGTGAATGTATCTGAGACACGTGCAATGTACAGCAGACACCTGAAATCACACGAGAAATATCACCAGTGAATGCTTCTGCAAAATCCAACAAATCCACAGTCAGGATAAACACTCCAAAGTCAGGGTCCTCTCTCAGGCCAGTGTCCTCAACTCAAGGCAGTGGGTTACTATCAATCAGCTACATTAGACAGACCACATCCTCTGGATGCCTGACACAAGACTCCAATACGAGCTCCTTACTCTGAGCTCCATTACAACAACTGGTTACCTGGAGGGCAGAGGAAATGCTTCAAGGACATGCTCAAAACATTCCTGAAAAAATACAACATCCCCAACTGACTCTCGGGAATCTTCTACCTGAGGCCAGGCAAACTGGGGAAGAATCATTTATGAAGGAGTGAACCATCTCGAATGTCTCCGTCAAGCTTGGATGAAGAACACACGCACTGTGGGAGGAGTGTATGAAAACTCAAACATCCCTCCCACCCATTTCAGCAAACACCTCCTATCCTACTTGTTGGCGGGAAGTTGGACCAAGAATCAGACTGTTTCCTGATCTCGGAACCCATAGCTCCAGACTGAAGGAAAGTCATCCTTGATGCTGAGGGACTGCCTAAGGAGATGAAGAAGAATACTGCATCCAGCAAAGTTTTACAAAGAATCACAGACTAAATGGCCAGATTGGAATGACCAGTCTGGTAACATTGCTGGAGGAACTCTCCACTCTTCTACATGGGGTCCCTTGAAGGCTATCTCTGTGGGATAATGCAACTTTAATTGAAAACTGACACTCTCAATATTACAGCGTCCCCCATTAGAATCATGAAATGCCAGCTCAAGGCCACAATGGGACTTCAAGCCAGACTCACACATAAAAGGACTCCCAATGAGCACACTGATACATAAATGCAGTTGTGTTCGCATGCCCAATCCACCAGGTGAGACAAAACTGTAATCCACCATAACTCAAAGCTATTTTTCAAACGGACCATTGTAAATGAAGCCCACATGAGAAGGACGTAAGATACTGACAGAGATGTTGGCTAGGGACCACGGTGTTGTGTTGAAGTGACGGACAACTGGAAGCTCAGGGATATTTTTGTGGACAGTACATAAGTGTATCACAAGCTGTTTGCCCATCTTGTCTCCCCAGTGTAGAGGAGACCACATTGTGAGCAGCGAATGCAGTAAACTGGATTGATTGAAGTGCAGGTAAATCACTGCTGGGGAATCCTCAGTTAAGGGAAAAGGTGGCCATTTCTGTGGACCCCTGCAGAAGCTGGCATCATCAGATCAGCGATGGAGAGGGAGGAACTGGGAGAATGGAATAGAGACTTTACAGAAAGCAGGGTGTGAGGATGTGTAGACAAGGTAATTGTGGGAGTCAGTGGGTTTGTAGTAGATATTGGTGGCCAGCCTATCCCAGAAATGGAAACAGAGATGTCAAGGAAGTGAAGGGAGGAGTCAGAGTTGGACCAGGTGAAGGTGAGGGTGGGGTGGAAATTGGAAATGAAATTGATAAACTTTTCAATTCTGGACAAGAGAGAGAAGGAGCACTGATGATATCATCGATATACCGGAGAAATATTTGTGGGTGGGGGTGGAGTGGGACTGGAACAAGGAATGGTCCACGTACCCCAGAATGGTGAATGAGCTGGAGGATGATGTGGAACCTGGGGAGCAGTGTAGATCTGAGCCAGCATGAGGTGGTACTGTTGGAGAGAGAGGTCAAGATTGTTCATGTGAGGATGCATGGCACTGAATGTGGATCTCAGGATGTGGTGAGAGCAGCTATCTGTGAAATGTTGAACATCATGGAGATACCTATGATCCTGGGTAGATTCAAAACACAAAGGACGAAACTTGAGTTGTAATCTACATGGAGTGAGTCTAAGTCATAGGCAGTTACTGAGGAACATGAGGTGGCTATGTAAATGAGTTTTAGCAAATATCTTGTCAAACACCAGGAGTGACAGTGAAATTGATGACAGTGGACAAGAAAAAAGATTGGAATGGAAATCCTATCAGAGAGAGGAGCAGAACTTCTTCAAGATGGACATGCCTTGAAGAGATATGGCAGTGAGTTAAACACTAAAATAAAACAAAGAACTGCAGAAGCTGGAAATCTGAAGCAAAAACAGAAATTGCTGAAGAAACTCGGCAGGTCTGGCAGGATCTGTGGAGAGAGAAACTGAGTTAATGTTTCAAGTCCAGTGATTTAAATCCAGTTTACAAATAGTGACAGAAAATACAATTGAACTGTTGATATCATAGTTTTGATAAAGAAAACAATTCATAACATTGTGGCAGAATGATAAAGTCACTGGACTAGTAATCTGGGGACACAAGGTTAATGCTTTGGAGACAGCAGTTCAAATCCAACTGCATCTGGTTGAATTTCAATTCAATTGGTAAATTTGAAAGTAAAGCTAGTTGCAGTGATGGTGACTATGAAACTTGCTAATTGTTAATCAAAACCCACCAGCTTCACAAATCTCCTTCAGGAAAGGAAATCTGCCATCCTTACCTGGTCTGGCCTACATGTGACTCCAGACCTGTAATAAACTGGTTTACTCTCAACTACCCTCTAAAATGGCCTAACAGTGCAATTAAGGACTAGCAACAAATGTTGGCCTTGCTGATGATGGCCACATACAATGAATAAATATAGGCAGGTAAGGCATGCTGTTGTTTAAACATCCATTGGTACATTCATACGACTGCTCCATCGGCTCATTCCGATAATGTAGTAGTTTATGTCATAAGGTGACAGTCTTATTTCTTCAATTTTAAGGTACATCCATTCAATGAATCGAGCAAACCTAACCTATAAGTTGGAAGTTAACCATCTGGCTGACCGCACTGTGGATGAGACCACAGCAATGAGAGGAAGGCTGAAGAGAACCTTACGAAATATCGGGCAACCTTTTCCAACAGATCAGTACATGTCAACTGTTGTCCCTCTGAGTGTGGACTGGAGACTGTATGGTAGGTGGGTCTGTGCCCCGTGAGGGAAAGGCTGTTTATGTGGCTGAGGATGGTTCAACGTGAAAAGATGGTTGATTTGAATTATCCAGTGTCTGTTGTTCTTTCTTCTATCCCTCTACTCCCCCACATCTCTCTACCATGACCTCACGTCCCCACTAACCCCAATTAAAAGAGTTAAACCTGGTAATTCTGTACTTCTCCTTGAGACAAATGATCTAAATTGGACACTTAACCCACAGGTAAAATCATAGCAACAATGATTTTCAGACCTTTCGCAACTGAAGGTATTTCTGAAGAGCAATGACTAATTTCAAACTGTCAAGATGATGACCAATACCTTGGTCAAAGAGATAGATTTAGAGTACTGTTTTAAAGGAAGAGAAGTAAAGAGGTGAAGAATTTAATGAGGGAATTGTAATGTTTAATTATAGAGTCACTTACAGCATGGAAGCAGGCCATTCAGTTCATTGAGTCTACACTGACCCTCTGAAGAGCAACCTACCCAGACCCACCCCACCCCTGTAACTTGATATTCCCCATAGCCAGTCAACATAACATGCACATCTTTTGACTGTGGGAGGAAACCCATGTAGACACAGGGAGAACATACAAGCTCCATGTGGACAGATGCCTGAGAGTGGAATTGAACCCAGGTCCCTGGTACTGTAAGGCAGCAGTGCTAACTACTGAGCCACTGTGCTGCCCCTTATGAAGCTTTTAAGGGCACAACTAAATCAATATAGGAGAGGCCATAATTAAAGGAGCATAGCTGTCTCAGATACTGAAGCATGTCCATGCAGATATGCAGTAAGACCTGGATACATCTGGGATTGGACTGACTAGTGCTTAGTAACATTTGTGTGAGACAAGTGGCAAGCAATGACCATGTCAGGCATCAAATCAGCATTAGGCACTGAATAATGTCAGAATCCTCCTATTTTCTGAGAGCACACAAACCAGCCCCACAACAATGCCCTCAATGACAAGATGCACAAGACACAACAAAAGATGCTGTAGATACTGTTTATCTCCTATGTTCTCTTCCTGGTTCCTGATTGTGACAACTTTTTTTTTCCTTTATTCATTCACGGGATGAGGGCGTCACTAGCTAGGCAGCATTTATTACCCATCCGTAATTGCCCAGAGGGCAGTTAAGAGTCAACCACATTGCTGGGGGTCTGGAATCACATGTAGGCCAGACCAGGTAAGAATGGCAGCTTGCTTCTCTAAAAGGGATTAGTGAACCAGATGGGATTTTTCCCAACAATGGATTCATGGTCACCATTAGACTCTTAACTCCAGATATTTATTGAATTCAAATTCTACCATTTGCTATGGCAGGATTCGAATCCAGGTCCCCAGAATATTATCTCGGTCTCTGGATTAACAGGCCAATGATAATACCACTAGGCCATCACCTCCCTGCTGATATAGGGAGATAAAATGGATCAATTAGGATTATGTTCTCTGGAGTTTAAAAGTATAAGGGGGATCTCATAGAAACTTGTAAGATTCTAACAGGACCAGACAAGGTAAATGCAGGAAGGATATTCCTGAAGACAGGGAACCCTGACTATGGATCACAGTCTAAAGATACAGGGTAGGCCTTTTAAAACTGAAATGAGGAGAAATTTCTTCAGCCAGAGAGTGGTGAGTCAGTGGAATTCTCTGCCACAAATTGGTTCAGGTCAAACATTGAATAGTTTTAAGAAGGAATTAGACATAGTTCTTCAGGCTAAAGGGATCAAAGGGTATGGGGGAGAAAGCAGGAGCAGTAGACTGAGTCAGATGATCAGCCATGATCATGTTGGATGCCAGCGCAGGCTCGAAGGGCTGAATGGCCTACTCCTGCTCCTATTGCCTATATTTCTATATTTTCATTGTGACCCATAGCCTGAAAACTACTGCAATAATGGAGCCAAAACTTGCAATCTTAATGTCTATTTTAAATGACCAAAATTGTTTGGAGAAATGTTTTTGGATCCTAATTTTAACTCTTTGCGTGTTTCAGGAGCAGTAACCCCTATCAAAGATCAAGCTGTTTGCGGGTCTTGTTGGAGCTTTGCAGCAACTGGTGCTCTAGAAGGAGCACTTTATCTCAAGGTGAATAGTGTGTTTCCAAAATGATTGGTAATGCAGCTGTCTGGATGTGGACTTGAGTGCGTTTTATAGCAAAGCAAAACTCTGATCATGAGTGTAGTGACGTTCGATGGTGCAGAGTGGGGATAACGCAGGTACCAACCTTACTCTGCTCAATGTGTAGCTCCGGCTGTGTTCACTGGAACGTAACACGCAAATCAATCCTGGGTAATTCGTACAATCTCTTACTTCCAGTCTGAGCTGGAATCAGCAACAAAGAACAAGCTGTTTGTCTGCCTCCCACTGCTCCATCCCCAATCCCCAGCATCAGTGCAGATCAATGAACAATATAAGACCAATAGGCATAGGACCAAAATTAAGCCAGTCAGCCCATCAAGTGTACTCTGGCTTTCAATGACAATATGGCTGAGTTAATAATCCTCAACTCCACTTTCCTGCCTTTTCCCCAATAGCCCTTGATTCCTTTACTCACTAAAGATCTCAGCCTTTAATATACTTAATGACCCAGCCTCAACAGCCTCTACAGTAAAGAATTGCACAGATTCACTGCCCTCTGACAGAAGAAATTCCAGCGCATCTCTGTCATAACTGGGCAATTCCTTATTCAGAATGACCTCTGCTCCTAGACTCTCCCACAAGGAATAGCATTGTCCCCGCATCTAGATTGTCAAACCCCCTAAGAATCTTGCATGTTTCAGAAAGTTTCTCATTTTCCTAAACTCCAATGAGCACAACCCAAACCTACTCAACCTGTTCTCATAGGAAGAACCAATGAAGTGAACCCTCTCTGGACTGCCTCCAATGCCAGGATATCTTTCCTTTATATAAGAGAACGTCAATTGATCACAGTATTCCAGCTGCATTCTGACTCGTGCTTTGTGCAACTTGAATAAGATTTCCCTATTTTTATATTCCATTCCCTTTGAAAAATCAGCCAACATTTAATTTGCCTTAATAATGATCCAGTGAATTGAATGCTAAACTTTGTGATCCACGCACGAGGATTCCCAAATTCCTTTGTGCTGCAGATCCCTGCAAGTGTCTGTCCATTTAAAGGTGAAACATACTTATAATAATCTTTTTCAAACTTGAGGAATCCATCTTCATTTTTGACAATGAATAAGGTCAATAAAAGTCAATGTGTTCTTTCTGTCGATGATGTTTGGAGTAACCAAACTCCTTTGAAACTGAATGAAAAGTAAACATTTTAAAAGGGAATTAGATTGGCACTGAAGAGAAGCAATTTGCACTGCGACAAGGAAAGCGAGTGAGAATTGGACTATCTCAATTGCCGAGGTAGAGAGCTAGCACAGGTTTAACAGGCTGGATTGCCTCTTTCTCTGGTGCATCCAATCTACGTTTTAAAGAAAACTGCAATTAAAATCTGAAATTAAACAGAAAATGCTGAATTGAAAATCTCTCATCAACTGAAACGAAAAGAAGCGGTCTAGTAATTTAACAGTCGCATTGTTCGGAAGCTATTAATCAGCCCTGTTTGATGTGTATACCCTGTTTTAATGAAACTATTGAAAAGTTCGTTGCCACAATCATGGAAACAAAAGCTGTTAGTGCCATCAAAGTTGCTGAGACAGGTGACCTTTATCTTTTAGTTAAAAGACAAGTCTTCAAGTCAGTTTTGAGCTGCCTGACTTCATCTCTCATTTGAACTGGTGATTTTATAAGTCTCAAATTAGCAGCGAAACAAGGAATGTTTCTCAATTACTGAGATAACAAGGTGTAGAGCTGGATGAACACAGCAGCCCAAGCAGCATCATAGGAGCAGGAAGGCTGACGTTTCGGGCCTAGATTACTTCTTGTTCTGAGACGGAAGATGTAAATGAATAAATATTGTACTGTAATGAAAACCAAACATTAATTCTGGTTGAAAGTGCGCAAATTTAGTATCAGTGCAAGTACTTCAGTTTTGCTAAAGTTGATAATGGAATAAAGTAAGTACAGAAAGTACTAGAGAAACTCAGCAGGTTTGGCAGCATCTTTGGAGAGAGAAACAGAGTTAACATTTCAAGTCTGATATGACTGTTCTTTGGAAGGAACTCAAAACAGTAATTCTGCTTTTCTTTCCAGAGATGTTGCCAGACCTGCTGAGTTTCTCCAGCAATTCCTATTCTTATTTCAGATCTCCAGCATCTTTTATTTTGCTTTTATTTTACTGGAACAGAGTGTTTTATTTAATGTTTCCAAGATTAAACAGATCCAACGCTATGATGCCATACTAAGCTCACTTACTTTTCATCTCAGACAGGAAATTTAGTTCCTCTTTCTCAGCAAATGTTGATGGATTGTACCTGGGGCTTTGGAAACCGTGGGTGTGATGGCGGATTGGAATGGCAGACATTTGAATGGATTATGAAACATGGTGGAATTGCTGATGCAGAATCATATGGCTCTTACATGGGACAGGTGTGTACTAAGGTTTCCTTCCATTAATCAGTCGCTCCCTTTCACTATGCAATGTTCAGCTGAAAAAGTCCCGACTGAAGTGTATTTGGTAGGAGATGCCAGCATCCAGACTTATGGCAGAGATTATCCTAAATTTATTCTTTTAAAAGCTATAATATTTTTGTATACCTAGCTGGACTTTTCCCAGCTTGCCCGAGCCAAACCTTACCCTGCCAGCATCAGCCTTATAACCAAATCCTCCAGGGCCACTGCCCCACGCCTTTGTACTTTGAGCACTTCATTTTTATCCATCTCTTGTTCCACTTTTCTGATCTACCATGTCTCCCCAACACCCCTTCTCCCCAAACTCCATCTCAAATTCTTCAATAAGAACATCCTCCCCTCAAACTCTCCATTATTCTTAAAGGTTTTAATCTTTGTCTCAACTCCTGTCTCCTTTTACTTCATCACCCTCATGTCCTTCCTCTTCCAGTTGCTTCATAAAAATAATCTCTGACTCAATTTCTCAGAACTGGGCCTGATTGACTTCTTAGGCCTCACTACTCTCATGCAATCACAAACAAGACTAACATTGGTCACTTGCTTCTATTCCTCACTATCTACATCCTTCTACTCCCTCTTAAATCTAATGTCTATTTCAGCCGCCACTTGATGGCAAAGAAAATCCTCATGTTGCTTGTCCTGTATTAACTCGGATAACTCTGCGATATATCCTTTCCATTAATCTCTCATCTCCACCTTCCCATGTCTTTGTCCCAAGAAAACTCTTTGTCCCAAGAAAACAATACCTTTATATCAAATTATTTAATGTAGTTAAATATCCAATGGTGCTTCACGGGGGTTTAATCAAATGCAAGATTGATGGGGACAAGAGGAGACAAGGGGTGATGATCAAACATTCTGGTAATGCGAGAGGTTTTAAAGGTGAGGAAACTTGTGCGTTGATGGTTTACAACTGGGGCTTTGTCACAAATTAGCAAAACTGCTGGACAATACAGAGCTCTACAGGGTGGTGGTGTTCTTTGCCAAAAGCTAAATCCTATTTAAATCCTTCTGGAGGTCAAAGCCAGATGCGTCTTTCATTATAAATCATTTTGTTAAACACACTCCCTTGAATCACCCAGCCTCACCTATTACAACAAACATGAGAAACTCATGAATTTCTTCATCCTGAAGATAAGGATTCGCCTCCCTCCACTGCTGACTGTCATTCCAATACACACAAAACTCTCTTATTCCAATATCCCTTTCTTTCCCGAGCATCTTTTCCATCCATTTGTCTCTATTTTTGTATTCCTTCCATCCACACCAGCTCCAATCTCTCTGTTCTTGACATCTCTTTTCCATGCCCTTAGTCCCATTTGCTGACTTCTGAGATCTTTCTTGCTTTTGTCACACCTGCCAGGATAAATAAATCTATCTCCCCCAGCACTGCCCCCTTCCCTTTTAACTCACCATCCCAGCTCAAAAAGAAATTGCCATTGGACCACCCCCATCCTTGCTCACTATCATCAATCTGTATTTCCACCAAAAATAAACTTGAAAATGTTGTTCCTCCCAAATACATGTTCACTTTTTTTCTTGATTCCTTTCATTAGGTTTTCACCATTTCACACAATCCAAATTCTCCAAACGTACAGTCGCTGTTACTGAAAGCACAGTCTTTGTTCTCCTCTGCAGCATTCAGGATGATGATTAGGAACATAGGAACAGGAATAGGCCATTCAGCCTCTCTAAGTCATTCTGCCAATCAATGAGATCAAGGCTGATCTGTGGCCTAACTCCATCCACTTGCCTTTGGCTCTTATCCTTTACAACCTTTGCTTATCGAAATATGTAACTATTTCAAATTTAAAGTTAACAACTGACCCAGCATCCACTGCCATTTGTGGAAGAGAGTTCCAAACCTCTCCCACCCTTTGTGTGTCGAAGTGCTTCCTAACATCTCTCCTGAAGGGTCTGGCCCTAATTCTCAGGCTATGCTCCTGGTTTTGGAATCCCCAACCAGTGGAAATACTTTACCTTTATACACCCTGCCTTTTCCTGTTAATATCTTGAAGACTTTGATCAGATCATCCCTTAACCTTCTAAATTCTGGAGAATTCTCTGCTACCATAAGTTAACCCCTGAAGCCCAGGTATCATTCTTGTAAACCTACATTGTACAGTCGGTTCTTACATAATGTGATAGTTCTGTTCTCCTGTGATATTGCATTATATGAAAATTGCGCTATAGCCATGCCATTTAAACTATAGCCAATACAGGTAAGGAAAGTGCGCGTTCTACAAATAGCGGTCTAAATTCTTCAATCACGTCAAAGCCAATTTGTGTTGAAGAAACATGCATTGTAGCAGAACTGACTGTACTCCCTCCAAGATCAATACATCCTTCCTAAGGTATAGTATCCAGATCTGCTCACATTACCGTCTTTGTCTGAAGCCTGCTCTCCACTGCACCTGTTTGCTCATCCTGCTCTTCTTGCAATGTTATCCATCCAGTTGTAAATCATCTCCAGTAATGCTTTCTCAATCACATCATCATTACCTTGCGATTGATTCCAACCTACTGCCCAGGCACTCTCTTGGGCTGAATCATACCATTCATGTTGATGGTCATGGCTTTGATGTTTTAATTGATTCTGAAATGAGTTTTCAATGACTTGGAGCATTTTTCTACTTGATGGATGATATTTAACTATATTTTGCCCTTGGTAATAGACTGTGATATCGAAAAAACTCAGCACATAATTTGCTAAATGTTAATATGGATCCAAACCAACAGATGGGAATGTGGTAAATCTCTTCCTTTCTCCCAATGTATTGCCCTCAGTTGTCCAAAAGTTGCTAATCCTAGCCCAAGAAGAAGGGACAGATCCCAGAACTGCCTATGTGATACATGGCATGGGAGTTATTAAGAAGCAAATTCCTTCTGTCTAAGCTAACTGGCCCTACCATTGTAAATCTGAAACTAAATGAATCAAGGAAGGAGAATTTGTTAATTATGAGATCCCTTCAATTGCTGTCCAGTTGTTGCTTTGCACAGAGCAATGTGTTTAGACTTGAATCATGTGGTATCTGGTACATTCAGCTTACAAAAGCATAACTGCAAAATTAATTTGCTGAACTAATTACACTACAATTAATAGGTTTGTAGTAAGAAAGCTTGATCCAGACAAGGATGGTATGATTTCAACTCATATGCAATAAACTCACATGAAGAAAATTTAAGATGTAAGCAATATGGGTTCTTAAAATTATTCAAGGTTCATTAAAGATTTTCTGATGTTTGGCTGGAGCAATAGTAGACCTCATAAGAAATATTTGATCTCCAGTTGAAATGTTAGTGGTAAGTTGAAGATAGATTAGTCTCCTAAAAGAGCATTGCCTATGCCTTGCTGGAATAATATGATTTAAAGTTTCACAGTCAGGACAATTTCCCTTTTAGGAGATTTATGATGCAATTGCTTTGTGACATCAGGAGATCTCATTGTGACCTCTCACTTCCTCACCTATTTCCCAACCAATTACAGCTACACTATTAAACAGAAGTTTTAGAGACAGAGTATGGTGGATGCTTTCTAAAGAGATGGACACCAAGGAGAGTTAACAGCGAGCTAACTGCTGAAAGAATTGGGATGGACTGTTGAAGACTAGCCACAGGACAGAAGATTGGGGTGGGGATCTTGTAAAAAAAGGAAATCTCATGAAAAAGAAGGCATTCTTTAAAATCTAGAGGTGTGAGGCTGGAAAAGCACAGCAGGTCAGACAGCATCCGAGAAGCAGGTAAGTCAACGTTTTGGGC